ATTGTCTTTAAAATGGAAAATGAATTTCAAAAAATGTTAAGAAAAAATGCATTAACTTTATATATATGGATACACACATGTATATGTATTAATTAATGCAAGCAATGTGCAGGAATCCAGAGAGGTTTAAAACTTCCCATGGCTTCCAGTAAGAATATTTCACAAGGCAGCTATTACCAGTGTGGCATGAGAATGAGAGAATCAATTAATCTCACTTTGAAAGGGTCTTTGTTATCTATTGCTCCATCACAAATTACCCCAAACCTTGGCTGCTTAAAACAATAAACATTTATTATTTCACATAGTTTCTGTAGGTTAGGAACCTACGAGTGACTTAGCTGAGTGTCTCTGGTTTGGGGTCTCTGATGGGGTTACAGTCAAGCTCTGAGCAGGGGCTGCAGTCATCTGAAGGTTTATACAGGGCTGGAGCACATACTTCCAAGATGGTCATTCATATGGCTATTGGCAGAAGTCCTCAATGCCTTGCCACATGGGCCTCTCCATGGGGTTGCCTGACTGTCCTCACAACACAGCATCTGGCTTCCCCTGGATGGAATGATGTGCGTATGTATGAGAAAGAGAGAGAGGAGCCACAAGGTCTTTTGTGATCTAGCCTAGGAAAAGTCATACCATCATTTCTGCCGTTTTCACAGACCAATCCTGATGCAGTGCGGGAGGGGACTACACATATCCAAGGCAGGGATCATTAGAGGCCTTTAAACACCATCATGTCCAATCCCCACGGGATCCTTGAGAAACTAAAATTTTTCCATAGAACAAGAAATATTGAGATTGTTAGTCACAGTCATTTAAACTTATCAAAGAAATAGGTATTTGAATCCTATTTTATATTCTGACTCAGCAGAAATAGCTCTTCTGAAAACAATGTATTAGAGGTTATGAGTGTAATGTGACTTTAAAATGTTAATTGGTTTTCACTTCTTGGAAAGTTACAAAATTTTATTTCCTTCCTTTTAGAAAGGTTTAGATAGGCAAAACAGATTTTTTTTTTTAAACAAGCCTTTATACTTTGGTTGTGTGGCTGCCAGGCAAAAACAAGTAAACAAACAAAAACCTTTTCATGGTTGTTTTCAGCCTAGTTAGATGTCTAATTGATTTAAAAACAATAATAATCCATCTCCCCCAATAGGTCAAATGTCTTTCTAATACAATCCATGGATTTCAACAGATGGAAAAGGAGGCTCATGAAATCAATACAGAAACTGAATTGTTAAAAAACAACAATGAATCTGGGCGCAGTGGCTCATGCCTGTAATCCCAGCACTTTAGGAGGTTGAGGTGGGAGGATTGCGTGAGCTGAGGAGTTCAAGACCAACCAGGGCAACATAGTGAGACCTGGTCTCTACCAAAACAACAACAACAAAATCAGAATGAAAACTCTGGCTGACTTGGGGCAATTTTCTTTTTTAACAAATGAGTTTATTTAGGTTTAAAAAAAAAAAGCATTTCAAATAACATCTTATGTATTTAATGAATTGCCTTTACTAAAAAGAGTAAAATTATATGAAATTTGAAATGTCTTTAAATTAGAGACATAAGATTATAGAAATATGGGGCAATGCATCTTCCAGGCTGCTCCTCCTAATAAGAATAGGAAGAGGAAATTTGTCAGTGTTTGAAATTACCTCCAGACTCTTTAAGAGATGAATTCTCCTGTATTCATTTTTGAATCCCAAATGCCAGCAGAGTGCCAGGCACAGAGAGGTCATGAAATATTTGCTGAATGAATGAAGAAGGGAAAAGCACTAGACTGTTTTGGAGAAATGATACCACTACAAAGCCCGTTCTCACCCTAATTTCCATTCCTTCCTTCACCCCCTGTGTTCTCAACATCTCCTGACTTCAAAGAGAGTCCCCAGGAAGAGAGCTGGCCTTGGCATCGGTAAATGACCAGTTTCCCTAATGGCTCATGACTTGTCATCCCAGCAAGTCCAGTTAATTCCCTGTTCAAACTGACACTTTAAATTCCGGTCCATAATACAAAAGAAAAATGAATCTGCCCGATTTCTTGTTTGGGCATCTATTATATTTTCAACACCATCCCATAAATTCTATTCATTCACTCCCTCCCCCAGTGCAAGAATTAAACACGGATCTGCAGCTGGATGGATTCTGTCTCCTGCCTTTTGTCCAGCTGGAAAGCTACTTACTAGTTCTTTATCATCTTTTGGTAACAGATCTTCTCCCAGGAATCTGTACTCTCGCTGTTAAACTTCCCAGCAAGTTCAAAGGGGCTCTCATCTCTCCAAGATCTGCTAGTTAACTTACTGCTGCTACATAGCATTGCCTTTGATAATTTAGCCCCTCCCAGAGGCACATTTTTCTCCATCTCAGGATAAAATACGGTGTGATTTTTTGGTTTTGTGTTTTTTTGTTGTTTGTTTTTTTGTTTTTGAGACACAGTTTCTCTCTTGCTGCCCAGGCTGGAGTACAATGGTGCAATCTCAGCTCACTGCAACCTCCGACTCCGGGGTCCAAGAGATTCTCCTGCCTCAGCCACCTGAGTAGCTGGGAACATAGGCATGTGCCACCATGCCTGGCTAATTTTGTATTTTTAGTAGAGACAGGGTTTCACCATGGTGGTCAGGCTGGTCTTGAACTCCTGACCTCAGGTGATCTGCCCGCCTTGGCCTCCTAAAGTGTTGGGGGATTACAGCCGTGAGCCACCGCACCCAGCCTAAAATAAGGTTTTATCAAGCTGTCAAAGCCCTGGACTTTGGCACTGTTTCCAAAGGGTGTTAAAACATTCCCAAAGGATGAACCCCATTGAACTAAGGAATCACTGAGGGGAAAGGAATGCAAACAGGTCTGACTGGATCTGCAGCTTTCCCCTGATTTACTGCACCTTGCTTTAGAGGAACTAAATGCTCATTCTGATGAGTTTAGTGAATATGAGACACTCTCTGTGGATCCAGGATTTCATCATATGCTATTGGGTCATACGTCTCAAAACTCAGGTGTGCTCATCGTTGAACTAATAACCTCAGTTATTCATTTAGTTTCAAAATGCTTATCCCAGCACGTACAGTTGTGTTTTCTTTTAGGGCCGAGATTTTATCTAACACAATTACAGTTTCTGATAAGCTATTCTGTGTTTAAAGCACATATTTTTTAAAAATCAGAGGTCTGCATCTCTAAGCACAGGGCAGTCCAGGATAAATCAGACCCACTAAAAATATAAGGACTATAGCTGATCTGGCGATTATTGTTGTTAGAAAGGTAATTATTCCAAATTGCAGAAAGAATGAAAATAGAAAAAAGAAAAATATAACAAGTAATTCTAGGCTATTCTTTTGATGTGTTTCCTTTTAGTCTTTAAAAAGAAAGATAAAATTTTGGATTTTTTTCATTTAACTTATTATCACAGATATTTTGCCTTTATTTTGCTATAGAGTCTGCTTTACAACTATGGCTTTTAGAGATCACTTCTCACAGGGACATGTTTTAGTGAACTTTATCAAGCTGGTAATTTTAAAAAGCAAGAAATCCAGATCATCACACATTTTTTCATTAAATGATTTTTTAATTATCAAATTATTTTTCATGTGTATTTCAGAGGATTGCTCTTCCAAGGAATACTCTGTAATACACTGTATGTATTAGAGAGGAAACTCTGAACTTGTTCTTAAAGTTTGTATATTCGACCAGGTATCCAGGACACTTTTTCATCTTTTTTTTTTTTTTAATTACTAAAGAATCCAGTCACATCAAGGATCATGAACTTCCAGAATTCTGAGTTCTAAAGGAAACCAATTAGCTTGATCATCTTCCCCAAGATATAAAAATATTTTGCCAATCCCAATATAGGGTGAGAAGAGCTTATGAGAATTGAATGAGTGAAACAATGCAGATAGTCTCTCACCAACGTCCCCCATGGCCTCACAATTCAAATGCAGCATTCCACTCACTCGGCTTTAAAATTTAATAAAGAAAAGTAAAGCAATGGGTTGGAAGATTTTGGAAATTGAGCAAAGATGAAAAAGGCAGTATTGTACATTTGTGTTTCTTTTATATTTGATGTCCTTCCATGTTAGGGAGAAAAGGAAAATATGCAAGAGTACGAAGGACAATGTTTTTAATAAAACCTTGGCTGCTTTTCTGTAAGAATCGATGCAAGTAATTTTATCTCTTTAGGGGTGGTTTTCAAAGCAAGGGGAAGAAACAAATTGACAGGATCTCATAACGTACTTGGGAAATGCACTCTTTTTGTGCTTTATTTAACTTAGCTAGGGGAAAAAACTAGGTGAAAAGGCAAGATTTCACTCAGATCTAGTTCTGCTTCATATGACTTTTAAAAAGAAAGGAAAAAAAGGAAGGAAGGAAGGAAGAAAAAATCCCTCTCAAACCTTATGCCCTATATCCTAGTGTTGTACAGATGACTTTTAAAAGGATAATAACATATTTCAGTATTTTTCCAACTGAAATTTGGCTGACTGTACAAATTTGGGTTATGGGTTCTTTAATGAAGGAAGATAATTATATTTATATTTTTCTGACATGATATAAAAACTTAAGTCAGCCTAGAGCCCCTGCTGTCAAGCTAGGCTGCTATTTGAGCTCCTAAGGAAGAAAATCCTTGGGAAAGATTGTATTTTATAGTCCTGCCCTCAGCAATTCAGCTGTACTTCATTCCAAGATACATTTTTGCCTTATGTGCCATAATGAAAGCAAACCTTCTTGCCCCTTAGAGGGGCACGTTTGGAAGATCAAGAGGAGAATGTACTTGGGCCATATTCTCTCCTAGGACGACTGCAAGGCAAGCTGTAAAAGAAACCAAAACAGGGCACATCTAACCGGTTCTGGGTTTTCTCCTGATGGCAGGATGTAGACCAGGCTTTTTGCAAGGGTCACTGAAGTTTGCAAAACTTTTTCTGCTCCTGGCTGATTGAGCGAGCCAGAGCCAGCTCATAGCTTGGACTGGAAATCATGTGAAACTTATTTATGCCATTTTTAATTTTCTCTCTTTAACTCCCTATCAGACATTGAGCCGAGTTTGCATCCGAGTCTGAAGTTGGTTTACAAGCATACTGGAAGTAAAACTCAATTGGGAGTGAGAATCCAGGTGAACCGAAGTAAACGTGAACTCTTTGTGAACCACATACTACTGTACACCCCTCTTCCAAGCCTACAGGCGCCTGAAAATCTCCCATAAATCCAAGCTGCATTGAAAGGATTTGCTCCAAGTCTTCTACCAGTAGCTTGCATCCACATGCATCAGACTCAGCTGTCTACTAAATCTGTAAAGTGTTATCTGCCTCACCATGCACAAACTACTGTCCCAAACTGTATTCAATCCAGATGGGAGGCTTTGTCACTTCCTGACTTCCCTTCCATTGTAAGAATGAATATTTTGAAACCAGGCAACTAGGAAAACCATACCCCACTAAATGGGAAGCATATACTATTTAGGGAAAACTTTCTAGTGGTCCCCCAGAAAATGAAGAAATTATGCTCTTCTTGTACCCTGATTGTACAAAATGTTCAACTGCCTGGGATATGCACCAGATCACATTTACAGGAGAATCTACCATAGATGTGTCCAGTGTCATGCACAATTCTCAGTGAAACAGCTTAATCTCCACACCTTTCTGTCTCAGTTATAAGCAAATTAGGATGCAAGTGAGGTCGATTATCACAGGAATACATATTATCCGATGTTAAAAAATAATTTTCAAATACTGGCACTTCACTATTAATAACAACAATTTACTTGTGACAGCTGATAAGACACATTGATATTTCAATCCTGATTCAGTCAAACCACCACCCCGCCTATAAGTACCTCCAATCAGGGAACTTGTCAATCATAAGGTGGAAGTTGGTTTATGTTCTATTTCCTCCTCAGGGACAGGGCCCAAGTCTTGATCATCACTTTATATAAACCAGTGCCCAGGCTATTGAAGGGATGCGATAACACTTATGTAAACCAAGCGAAAGGCACATATATGCCTAGAATATCTCTAGAAGGATCCTCCAAGAAACTGCTAGCAGTGATTGTCCCTCAGCAGAGAAACTAGCACATTGAGGTGAGACACTTGCTTTTCACTGTTTTTTTTTACTAATTAAACTTTTTACCTAGTATTTTGTATTTTATTGGGTACATTAGAATATTTATTGAATGAATCAACACGTAGATGAATGAGCAAGCTATATCCAGGAACACAAGAGTTGACACCCAAATATTTTTGTCTGTACCAACTTAACAGCAGTGGCTTTTTCCAACCCTAAGTTTCAAATCCTTCTAGTGACTCATGTCAAGTTGTGTGCCAAGTCAAGAGAGTGCTGACACTCTGACTCAGTGTGTGCAGAAATTCTTGGCCAAGGAGGAGGCAAAGAACTGTCACAAAGGCTAGACTTTATTGGTTTAGTTTCGATTCATTAATCAGAAGTGGAAATGCTCACAGTTTTTCTCAATATTAGATGTTGCTGTATGTTTTCTGTGAAGAGCAACTGTGGTTACTTCTCAAGATAGAACTCTATCCAAGATCATGAAAACTGGCAATTCTTTAGGGGAAAAAAATCCATTTATCTCATGTCCCTAGGTTTGTGCCTCCTTTCAGCTGCAGAGAGGTGGCTTACTGCAGTGAATTGAAGTGTGCTAGCTTTGGGATCAGGCAGAACTTTCTAACTATCCTTTGTCTCAGAGTTAGCAGTCATATATAAATTGGAGACAAAGCTACCTACCTGACAAGGCTGCCATCAGGCTTAAATTAGCTAATATATTTAAAATCCCTGTAACATAGTGCTCAAAAAGTAGTAGCTATTATTCTTATCATAAAATAGTCTCACAGCCCTTTTCACCCTTCAAATTGACTGAGAATCAACACCAGTCTTTGCTTTAAAGCAAAGCTTTGAGGCTTTAAGGCTTACCTATGAGGTGCAACTACATTATAAGCTTAAGAACATTTTGCCTCCTCCCATAATAAAAATGTTCTGTGATATTTTTGACATGTTACTTCTTTTGCCTACAGTGTAAAGATTAGAAATAAGCTTGCTATTAATACTTCCAATATTCACCGTGTCATCTGTCTGACTGTCATAATCTTCAATCAATCACCTTTTTGCTAGCACCACTTTTTATCCAACCAGGTCAAGATCATGCAATTTGATGGCTGCTTGGGAATTTGTCAGCACTGTCATTTGAAGGGTGTTAGAAAGACATTGGCACTACAATCAGACTCTGTAGCAATCTGCCATGCCAAAAGAATTTTTAATGAGGTGGATTTTTTTTTTTTTTGAGTTGGGGGATCCCTTGTCCCCAACTCAAATTCATGCTTCAGTCTGGTTCCAAAAGAGACCAGACTTTTTGGAACCACAGTCCCCAGATTCCTCAATGTTTGGCAACTTTGCCAAGAGGTGCAAGCTGCCCTCTAGCTCATCTGGCTGCTGCTATTGCCCAGGCTGTCTGATGACTTGCTGGGCCACCAGGGGCCCTGCCTTTCCCAGCATGGAAGTGTGTGACTCTCCCCACACTCCCTGCCCCAACAATGCCAAGAATTAGAAACAAGGGCCGGGAGTGTTAGCAGGCCCTGCATGAATGGCAGCTTAGAGGGCTTGCATTGTGCTTGGTGCACCAAGAGCAGATTGTTATTCTGCAGGCATGAATTAGAGCCTGGGCAGAAAGCGCCATGGTCTTGCCCCGGCGGTGTCTTGCTGCTGCTGGAGAAGTGAGAGGACTGTGGTTGTGCAGAATTTCTGCGGGCCATGTTCCAGGAATTGTCCTTAGAGGACTCATCAGAAGGGGAAGCATTTGCTTTTTGAATTCCTAACATCCTGAAATTCCATTAGTCTATTATTTTCCCCCTACCTTCCCCACTTCTCCTGCTGTGAAATGGCATCGATTCATTAATTCTGCTCAAAGACGATTGTATTCTCATGACTTCAATGTATCATCATTTTAAATTTTTTATATTTTGCATAGGCTTTACTAATACATATTCAAGTTGGAATGATTCCCCACTGTCTCTTCAGCCATCATTCAGACAATACTTCCTTGCAGGTTAGCTACTACAGATTTAGCATAGTTACTGAAAGAATGAAGATAGTCTGATTTTATAGACCTTTTTCTAGACTATAGGGCTCTGAGGCATCAATCCGTGCAATGACTGCCTCTTTCCTCCAGGTATTGAAAAACATAACTCTTCATGCTTTCTCACTGGCATGAATCCATAACAACTAGATTTAATTGTGTAAAAGATCTCAACTTCAAAGTCAGCTAAAAAGGCCTACAAAACCATCCATTATACTGCAAAGTTAAACCATCCCTGTTTTTCAAAGTCTTCCTGATTTCTCTGCCAACAGAGATGTGCTAGAATCAATATTACACTGTTCTGGTGGTGGGGCGCTGAATGGCTTTGCAACAACAGAAAATAAACACATCTGGGCAAACTGAATGGCAGGAAATGGTGACCAATGAGATTTGCAGAGACCATTTGGGTGAAGTTTTTAAAGGACTCAACATGCATATATCATCTCCCCTACCTCACCCTTCCTACTCCCTGTACCCTCACACCCTCACACCACAAAAGTGGAATTCAGTAGCATTGAAGGAATAAAAATATCAAGTGCAAAGGATTTCCGTTTTTTTCTTTTTCTTTTTTTTTTTTTTTTTTTTGAGATGGAGTCTTGCTCTGTCGCCTAGGCTAGAGTGCAATTGCATGAACTCGGCTCACTGCAACCTTTGTCTCCTGGGTTCAAGTGATTCTCCTGTCTCAGCCTCCTGAGTAGCTGGGATTACAGGCGTGTGCCACCACACGCAGTTAATTTTTGTATTTTTAGTAGAGACAGAGTTTCATTATGTTGACCAGGTTGGTCTCGAACTCCTGACCTCAGGTGATCCTCCCAAAGTTCTGGGATTACAGGTGTGAACCACCACACCCAGCATTGCAGAGGATTTTCTAAGATGGAGTCTGCAGCATTTTCCTTGGGGGGTCATTTACTCACTCCTGCCTCCCCAACCCCTATTCCATCCTGAGCCTGGAGTATCAAAGATACCAAAGATATTGAAACTCTCCTCACACTGTCTTATACGTCATGCGTCAGCCTCACCATTGCTGGGTGGGGACGTCAGGGAAGTATGCATGAATTTCTCTGAACCATTTTTCCGGTTCAAGCAAAAAGCAAAGGAAATGAAGGAATCTGTCTCATGCACAAAGCACAGACTATGATTCTCCTCTAAGACATGTGCCCACAAGTAGACTATCATTATTTGAGGTAACGTTGAGTATAATTAAAAACCTTTCAGCACTCTAGTCATATTTCCTGTCACAAGGACAAGATGATATACTGAGAACTGATCAGGCTTAACTGTACCAGCAATGAAAGTAAACAGGGCATTATATGAACATATTCCCCTGTATATACAATTGTGTATTGGCAAAAATTAACGTCCTTCAACCATTCGTGGAAAATATACTTTATTCAAATGATTTTTAGAAGGAGCAGAATTAGGGAGATATAGAAATCTTTCACTCATGCATTTGTGATAAATTTTTTTGAATACATAATACAGGATACATACACTTTGTTGAGTAAATGAATGAATGGTTTCTGTAATTCCCCAGTTCTACTCCTAAACTCATACACTTTAGTGGCCCAGTATTTTAGAGTAACATTGACAGTCAGTCTCAATCAAATGAAATGTAATCATAGGCTGTAGTAGATTTTATTCTCTCTTTCTTTCTTACACAGTGCAAAAAAAAAAAAATGTGATGACTGGGGAAAAAAACTGCTTCATGTAGCTTTTGTCCAGAAAGCCTGATGTGTGTTTCTTATGGCCTTCCCTTCCCTACTTAAGTTGGATAAAGACGGCCTCTTTTGAGAAAATTCACTCACCAAAGCTCTAATGCCTGAGTTTATAAAAGGAGATCTATATCACAAGTGGAAGATGACAGAAGAATGTTAGTAAGAGTACCAGAGTTTCAAAGCTTCGTCCTTCCTCTGCCAGTCTGGAATCCAAATCTAGAGCAACATGCTTTTGCTTGCAATGTCTTCTCTTCAAAGTAGGAAATGAAATTTTAAAAACAAGTGAACTAATCAAAGGTGGGATTTACTTGTCTGCTTTCAAACTAAGAGATAACAATGATTCCCTCCCTCAAAAATTTGAAAAATTGCACACAATTAAAAAGACCATGTATTTTCCACTTTTGTACTTTATCTAATAGTTAATGCCAAAAGGTATTAGATCTGATAACAATGACTATTACTGTACTATTTTGTAATATTCACTGCACATTCAGCATTTTACGAGTTGGAAATATTAATAGTATTTTAAAAGCATGGTTCCTACCTTGATGGAGTTCACCTGATTGGAGAAAAAAGGTATTATCTGCTGGTAAATATGTAGGCCTGCAGCTCAGTAAAGAGATGTGAAGGCCACATAAGCAAAATGCCAGGGTAAGAGATTGGTCAGAAACAAGGACTTTCTAGTATCATCAGCACTGAAGCCCAACACTACAGAGGATGAAAATGGAGTAAAGCTGACTCTACCAACCTATCCACCTAAGAGAAACCAGCACGTGGATGAATGGATGTCACAGCCTGGAGCAAACTCTTAAGACTTGTGTTCTCCAATAGGTGAGCCACTAGAGCCACAATTGGCTATGAGCACTTGAAAGTTGGTCAATCCAAACTGAGATTGAGATGTGAGGGTAAAATATACACTAGATTTCAAAAACAGTTAAAAGACTGTAAAATAATTCATTAATATTTGCTTAATAATTACACATTGAAATAACATTTGGTATATATTAAGCTAAAAATATGTTATTAAAATATATATACTTGTTCCTTTTTTAATTTGGTAACTTGAAAATTTAAGATTACATATATGAGTTATGTTGTATTTCTGTTGGACAGAGTCTAAGGCTTAACACCACCAATGGACAGATGTACATCCTGGTCTTGACAGAATGCAGAGCTTACAGGAATTTGTCTCTTCTCGTATGAATCATGCCAAGTGGTGTACAAATGTAGTTTTATTGTTTGTGTAATAGCCCTCTGCACATCCAGAGAGTCTTTTATCTGAAGATCTCAAACATTAATTCTCACTGAATAGCTGAGGAAGGCTGGTATTCTTAGCTCTATTTTACAGATGAGAAAACTGAGGCATTGGGGAGATTTAAACGATTTTCTTAGGGCTACCTAGAGTGGGTGTCAGAGCTCAGAAAAGAAAATATGAGTCATTGTTTCCAGTAGCACTTAGGAGATTAGCAAGATGGCAATGAAAGATGCTCCAGAGAAAATAAATAAATAAATCTCCCCCACTTCTTCAATCCTCACAGAGGGATATCTTGAGACATTTGTGGCAAAGTCCCTCTCAGTTTTCTACCATGACCCCCAAAACACACTTGGCATCCCGCAGAAAATACACAGAATCACATCATCATCCCTGAGTCTCCACTTAAGAATATTATGTCAATTTTAAGTGGTTCCCAATAAACTAGAGTTTGAAGTGCAATAAACAAAATATTTTTTGTTTGCTTGTTTTGTTTCATTTCGTTTCTTTGGGGGGTAGTGGCTGCCATTGTTCGATTTTTGGATTTTTTAGTTGATTGGTAGTTCTTTTAAAAATATTTTTTACTACATAAAATTATCATGGACATGACCCATTCTCGATTTTAGCCTTTAAACTCATTTGCTTTAGACAAACTCTAACTCAAAAACAATGTTTTTTTCAAAGCCAATTTGAAGCAGCCAAGCCAAAACATAATTTTACATAATGGCTTGCATAGTACAAAATACTTAAAAAAGAATATGCCTTACATGGAGACATGTTGGCCATCTCACTCTTCTCACTGATCATTGTTGAGAACCTCTGTCCTTGCTAATCTCCAAATTTCACACTGAAATCCTGTATCTTCTCTGTTTCTACCCGAGCCCAAGTCTTGAATGCTGCCTAGTCTCCTGCTCTAAGCTTATTATCTGTGACCTTCTTCACTGAAATTGCCGCATTAT